GTCAAATTAAGTAGTAGCAGATGTCTAAACAAAAAATAACTACAGTTGTATATTTTAGTCAGTGAACAAAAGGAATCCGCAAATACAAGACGTTGCCAAGTACTTCTATAACTTTTGGTGCATTACTTATCAAGAGATTGCTGTAACTTGTATGCAATATTTGCAATCAGATGCATAATTCTGACAATTGATGCTTGCGCATGCGATTTCGAAAAAAGACTAAAGTTGTATATTTTAGAACTGAACAAAAGCATCCACAAATACAAGACGTTGTCAAGTATTTCTATACTATCTGGTACATTAATTATTAAGAGATTGCTGCAACTTGTGTGTAATATTTGCAATTAGATGCACAATTCTGACAATCGATGCTTGCGTATACGAATTTGAAGAAGAAAAAAATAGTTGAATATTTTAGCACTGAACGAAAGTATCCTTAAATACAAGACGTTTCCAAGTATTACTATACTATCCGGTACATTATTTGATGAGATATTCAGTGCTGCAACAGAGTGTATATGTACCGTATTTATATCATAGTATCGTATGTTTTTCCTATGTAGTCTGTTTTGACTGTAGTATAGAGGTGTATTTTCAGTTGCCATGGATTTTGAACTCATCGGCTAGTCTGCTGGTCTAGAGCGCAAAATAAAACCAATCCTAAAAGCAATTTGATACTAAACCTCCAATAAAAATTACTCTAAATTTGAATTTTAGTATTATTCTCCAATAGAGCGAGGACGTTAACCCTTGTTGTCCACCAGAACACCCTTGGTGAACAACCCTGTTGTATCTGTGAGCCACTAGGACACCACTCTTGGAATATCCTGACCTTCCCTGACCGTTTCTTGACCAACCATTACAATCCTTTGACTCTCCCTATACGAACAAGTTATCAAAATATCCAACAGCGATAATTGAACTTACAGCTTTTGCGGTATCAAGTGTAACTTCTTACCCACTTGACCTATCGCAATTCTGAGTATGCAGCTCATAATCTAACTAGATACAACACGAATTAAATGTTAAAATAACCTAATTTGGATTTGGCTTTACATTTATTTATTTATTTATTTTAATAATATAAATGTATTTAGGTAGCTAGTGGGTAAAAAGCTCAACAAGGCAGGCATAAAGGCAGGCGAGAGTCTAGGCAGGCGAGAAGGCAGGCGAGAGTCAAGGCAGACGAGAAGGCAGGCGAGAGTCAAGGCAGATGAGAAGGCAGGCGAGAGTAAGGCAGGCGAATAAGGCAGGCGAGAGTAAGGCAGGCGAATAAGGCAGGCGAGAGTAAGACAGGCTTAAGACTTCTCCAGTTTGTCGGAACTTGTGGAAGTTGGAACTCCGGAGTCCGAACTTGTGAGTTGTGGCACTTGGCACTTGGCACTTGGGACTTGGGCCTTTAATTGTACTTTTTTGATTGTTACAACGTTTTTGTATTGCAAGTGTCAATTCTATGATATATTGGCCTGAAATGTTCAATTTTTAAAGGCCTGATTTTTGTTTCATTTATTAGAGGGCTATGTGATTTTCGACCTGGTACTATGGTACATAGGTCGGTACTTGGTAAGTAGGTAGATGCACCTTTTCTCCATATTTAGGCCACGAAACAAGAACTAAGTATGGAGACGATTTATAAGACTCAAATCCTAAATCGGAAAACCCCTATGAGCTCTATATTTTGGACCACATAGCCTTTTTTTTTGTTTGAAAAAATACCAATCATATATACATATTATAAAAACAATATTTTGTTTTGTGTTGTCACTGTTGTGTGTGTGCGTGACAATATAAGGGTTCAGAGAGCAGAATTTACTCTGGAGTAAAGAGAACCTATAAAACTCAAAATATGAACCATACTATTTACTACGATAGTTACCGACATGGAAATAGGGTAAATTAATGATTGGAAATAACACGACGCTTACCTAGGATTATGCAGGTAGTGTTCTGATAGGTGTAGGTTTATGTAAAGAGAACCTAGACAAGATATAGGCTCACTGATTTACTGAGTGGTTTACGCAGACATATAAGGATGCTTGTAACCTAAATCCAGTCGCTTAGTACTACATAAACCTGATATGTAACCTAATTTGGAACTTCCACTTAAAGCAACCGTACTTGCTTTAAGTGAGAAAGATGAGGAAGTTCTCATGAAGCTGTGCACGGAAGATATAGGTTGTAGGAACCAAGGAATTGGCTTTGATGAGTTCGTGGAGACGAATAGTATAAATACAGAAGTATTGTAGTACGTGGCAGTGTAACAGGGTTTTACAGCTTGTTATCTGAACAAATATATAAAAGGCTTTTGCAGTGAGCAATCTTGATTACGTCACAGCTTTTCTCCTAGCTACATTATATCATACATACATTGTAACTTATTTTTTTGTAGTTGAAATAAATAGTATTATCCCTACTACGGCTCAACTTTCTTGTGTGCACAGAACAAGTATGGTTAGTAAGGCAGAGGAGAAGAGCAAGACTTTCAGCAATAAGAAGCATGAAAGTGTGTATGTGTGGTACAAGACGCAGTCTGCAGTGACAGTAAGAAGAGACCATGTAGCGGTTGGTTTGCTGCCACCTAGTGAATGTGGCAAAGCTATAGATATTATTATACATGAGCATCTATCAGCAGAGGTCAGCAGAGCTGTGTACAATATTGTCCCAGCGGACATTCGATCTCCTGTTTGAACTAAGGCCGCCCTATGCCATCTCTCTAAGATATTTCAACCTTTGTTGGACACATCTGATAGCGCGGCAAAATCTTTATGTGAAGTTCTGATCTAGGACAGATATCTACGACTCCTTTATTTCGAAGAATTTAGCAATAATGGGTTTGAAGCGCTGCTAGCCAACGAGTGGTTTAAAGGTGTTTCAACTTTGAAAAGTAGAATGGCGACCAAGAATTGGTCTGGACGCTTGGCAAGAATTGATTCTGCCCCACTGATGACTGTATATCAAGTAGAAGCGATTATCAAACAATTGCAAGAATACTCTGAAATGGAAAACACTGAAGGAGTGGAAGATTTTACATTGCCCATAGGTAATACCCATTCTAGGCTATGTGTAGCTGCCATACGGCTGGCATATGGAATGGATGTAGACCATCTTTCATATCAGCAGATGTTGACACGGTTTGAGAATATGAGTGAGGTCCATGAAGGGGACGCGTATGGACTAATGATACGCTGTGGTCCATCAGTGTTCATTAAAGCAGGCATATCGGTGATGTTATCTGAAGAAAACAGACAGACATCCTGGGATGAGACGATCATACAGGTAGCGGCATCAATGGAAACGCGTGTAAAGATGATCGTACTGGATAGCACCTCTATCCATCTGAGAGATACCTTCAGAGCTGTCTATCAGATGGGAGGAATTGCTAGGGCTGCTCAACTGTTAAGGGACGTGAACGAAGATGAGGCAACCAATGGAAAGGACCTGCCTCCTGTTGCCCCATTCAATGTTCAACCAGAAGGTGCTGCTCAAGGCAGCAACAACAAGAAGAGGAAGAGAAACCTGGGGTCTAATTATAGGGGTTGTTATGGTTGTAACTCCATGGAGCACAGACAGTACCAGTGTTCAGTGCTCAAGAAAAAGCGGGCAAATGAGCGCAAGGAAGGAGCTTTGAGTAACGACAACAGAGGACAAGGAAGTTTGCCTCAAGGGCAACCACTATTTCCACCCATGCAGAACATGGGAGTGGTAGGAATATGGACTTGTACTCCAGTTTCTCAAGGAGGCCAAAGGAGGTTACTCCCAGGAGCATCGCCGGTGGTGCTTTCGGGTCCCGCAGTGGCTCTTGGCAATCCCAATGGAATGTCAGTAATTCCTCCTGTAGCGACGTTAGCGACAGCAAGCGTGGATCAACAATAGTTCAATTACGAGCAATTGCAACATGTAGCTAGAGGTGATGGAGCATATTGACACGGTGCGGTAGTGCAAGGGTGTGTGAAGGGAATGAGAATAGAAATTTATGTGGATACTGCAGCAGTACCAACTTTAAACCTCCCGTGATTTCGCCATGCGCCTAGCACTACCCATATCACCGTATGTAGGCACATCATTCTCGATACTTGGGGCGTTGGGCACTGCGGCCCTCTGGGTCTATTAGCCTACCATTGATAATTGAAACTTGGTACAAACAGGCAAAGGTGTTCTTACAGGAGTGTTTGATAGTGTCGTCTTTACCTTATGAGACTTCAATTCTAATAGGATACAACACATTACAACGCTATGAATGGAATCTGTTGTGGAAGGGACATACTTTGACAGTGGTTCCAAGAAATCAATTGATGGGTGCAGCGAAGCAGATCGATCGGACATCGAGCATGATTGGGGCCTTGCATGTACCTAGGGAAGCAGTATTCCAGCGCATGATAAAGGAAGTGCATACAGTTACCGACCCTATACATCTGCCTAAGTTGGTGGACCGCATGTCGTGGGCTGAAATAGAACACCAGACAAAAGAAGATTTTGGAACAACTTTGACGGCATCTATCAGCTAGCGGCCGCGGTCAACGCATCTGCACGTGCGGTCACGAATCTCATCCGAGATATACAAGAAGTGGCTTACAATGTCTTAGAACCCAAGTTTATGGATGTACCACCCCTGGTTATACAAGAGAAGCCGCAGGCTGTGCCGAAGGCTATTTACTATACAGACAAAGATCCCACTAAAGCGGCGATCTTAAAAGAAAAAGTGGACGCGTGGGAGGCGGCTGGGATCATTGGCAGGGTAACAGACCCAGGTTGGTATTCGGCGACGCACTCCGTATTCAAGAAGCCAGGAGTAATCCCGGTCGATGATGATGGATGGAGGACGTGCATCAATCTGAAATTAACCAATGACCAGTTGCAGGCATATTTCTTATTATATACATACGGAGAAAGAGTACCTGGCCAATGTGAAAGGCAAGGATTGGATTACAACAGCAGACCTGGGTCAGAGCTTTTGTCAGATCCTTGTGGACCCAGAATCCCGGAAATACCTGACGTTTAACACACCATGGGGGTTTTACTCGCTCATAGGAATGCCGTTTGGCTTAAAAGAGGCATCCTGGCGAATGCAGCAAGCGCTGGGGTCGGTCTTTGGTTTTCTCAAAGCGGTGATGTGGTACATAGATGACTTGTCGTTCGGTCATAATGATCCTAAAGAACACTGGGTGTGTCTTCAGAAGTTTGTGCATGCGTGTAAGACTAAAAGGGTACAGCTTCGGTTAAGTAAGTGTATGTTTACAGCGTACAGGAAAGCGGTGGTACTTTTAGGTCGGTCGGTGGATTGGCGTGGCAGTACCATCACAAATGAACGTCTTCGTGATCTGCTAAATCTCAATGTGCCTACGTCACAGGACCTAGCCAGGTCTTATTATCATACCATGGCTTGGTGGAGTGAATATATTCCAAACTTTACTCGGGGTTTGGCTAGTATTGCGGCACTACTTGAGAAAGACGTCAAATTCATCTGGACAGCGCAGCACTGTATATTTCTATATTTTAAACTATATTATATAAACTAAGATACAATTTAAGTCAGTTAGGATTTAGCAGTGATAGCTTGTGTAAGAATGATCTGGACTGCCTTTTGGGAAGAGCCTTAGTATCCTCGATCACACAGGACGTACCTCTAGCTGTTCTTTATTGAATAATTTTCACTAGAAGTACTAAGTATTCATGACCACATGTCTAATTTATAGATAGGCATAAGAACGTAAGTCAAGTTAATACATTAGCTAATATAAACGAAGTTCCATCTGAAGAAAAGTTAAAAAAAGAAAAAGACTTATTGGATTTTGGAGATTGGCGGGAAGACCAAAACCTGTAAGTAGTAGTTCAGAGATTATAAAATTTAGTTTATGATATCCTACATCTACTATCGTCTCAAATAGGTCCAAGTAGATGAGACATACCAAATAGTCGGGCTATTGGAGCCATCAAAGTGAATTTAGAACGCTTTGGAAATATTGGAAAAATAGCTTGCATTAAATTATTTTAAATACAAATAAAAACCAATGTGTTATCTCATTTGATCTTGATATTTTAGACTGACCGGAGCCGTATTTTTACATCATGGCATATTGAGAGATTTTGATATACTCGTGTCGTATGTAAAAGAAGAAGAGAATCCTGTGGCAGACGTTATGTCTCGTCTGTGCACAGGCATTGACCCTATAATGCGGGTCAAAAGGGGGCGCACTGAGCTCAGGGTCACTTTTGCAGACCCAGAAGTTCAACTGATTGCTACAGAAAAGCATATGCTGTCAGCTGCATGGTTCCGTGTTCTTGACAAACTCTATGGCCCTCACACAACCGGTTATGAACAATATGAACTATAAGCATGCGTTTACAAGTTGGTAACCTGCTTTTTTTATTATACTTTAGCGTTCGGCGGAGGAACGCTGATGCGACAGCATCCCGTTTCTGGGGAGATGTAATGTCCGACAGTATTGGAGTTCGGTGCTGGTGTAGTACCGAACTGGTGGGGATCAGTACTCTACTGATTGACAGCTGATATGGAGCTTGGGAGTGATTGACAGGTTGGAGGAGTACAGGTTGCGGGAGAGGTGTGTTAGAGAAGGGATGTAGTGGTAGACCTCTCCGTAGGTAGGTGTTGTCGTGGATTCTAGAAGTGATGTACTGGATAGTTGTCTGCACTGATCGATAGGAGGAGATGGGGACCACGAGGTGTCCGAGAGAGACGAGGAGACGAGGCAGTATATGAGGATATCCAGTGAGCCAACTAGGAAGCGAGAAGATTTAGTTTGAATATCACTATTACGGCATCTAGTGATGCACGAGTTGCTACGTCATTTCGTCGATATCCACTTGATGCGAGAAACTGATTGGTCGTCCTTCCGATAGACACAAGAGGTCGCATGGGCAATGCTAATAGATATAATAATTGAAAGGGCGACACTTGACGCATTCAAGGTCGTATAGTCCCAATCGGGCAGTTCAAATGCAAATCAAGCACTGATATCATTTGGTAGGGTTAATCAAGAATTTGAATGGATAGTCTGATCTGTTTCTGTCACAGTATATATGCCAGCTTTATCGTCTGATCTGTTTCAGTCATAATATACATGTCAGCTTTATCGTCGGATCTGCGTCTATATATGTCGGCTTGATAGTCTGATCTGTTCCTGTCACAGTATATATGTCAGCTTTATAGACTGATTTGCTTCTGACACAGTATATATGTCAGCTTTATCGTCTGATCTGTTTCTGACACAGTATATATGTCAGCTTTATAGTCTGATCTGTTTCTGTCACAGCGTATTTGTCAGCTTGATAGTCTGATCAGTTCTGTCTCAGTATATATGTCAACTTCATAGTCTGACCTGTTTCGATCACGTTATAGATTTCAGTTTTGTACTGAGATTGTAAACAGGTGTATTCGCGGACTTTCGGAAATGATTGTGCGCTTCGATGTTGACAATTTAGATTTGCGATACATATTTCTTAACAGCTCACAAAAACCACCTATGTTAGTTTATTCTATTTAAAATAGCATCATCTTAGTCTGATTCTTCTTCATCAATGGAAATATGTGATTGGGACAAAGCTCGCCGAGAAAATCGGACTTGATCTGTTTGACGTTAAAGATGTTCTGATTCTTGATGTCCTTCCGCGAGTCCACGATCACGTATGTCAAATTGCTTAAATTGAGTACACCTGATTCAAATAAGCACCGCAAAATTGTTCAGAACGGAAATGTCAAGATCGGAGCGCAAATACTTGTCGTGCAGATGGCTGCATCTATACACACTATGGGTTATAAAATCAAACAGACTAAAAGCACACTAAGGTATACGCTCGACAATTCCCAATGCGAGCTAAAAGCTATATAAAATAAGCGGTGGCATACATAGGTATGTAATATAGAAACGGCCAAATTTACCATGATATATTTGCCAATTACGCACGCTTGTTGTTTGAAGACTATATCGAGGTGAATGTCGACAAACAACACCATAATACAGAAGGCCAAGGATTCGATGAAATGAGCGTATAGTACGTGGCTCTGTGTAGCAATTAAGTTTAGTGATGTACATTGCTATGGTTTGAATATCACTCGTTTTGCCGAAAAGTATCGAGAGAGACAACCTGATTCAAACTAGATGGTGGTGATCCAGTATTATAGCAATACACGAATGCATGCATATTCTAGCAGGAGAAGAGGTACGGACTACTGACACAAGGGTAAACAGCATTAACATTAGGAAAACTCAACATACCTTCTTCAATTAACTTGGAGATCCGGTTGGGTGTACCTACAGCAATCCTCACTGCGTGCTCTTGTAAGTATTTGATCTGTGATGGCAGGACACGAAGATATAAAATAAGTTTCAGCTTGACAGAGGATGAATAAACTCAACAGCAGCGAAATGGTGCATGCTTCATGGAGGAACGGCAAGGATACAAATTAAAAATGGAATATTCTCGTATCAAAAAGGAATCGATAAATATTGATATTAGGGAACGAACAGTATTTAAACCCAGTATATTGCATCGAGATGTGTTGGGTGATTCTGACGTAGCAACGAAATGTAAGCATGAACATTCCCACATACACAGCCCACTTGCATCTCAGTGCGTATCGACGAAGCCATGTGCGAATTGAATGAAAAAAGCTTCCCCGCTTATATTGCAAAGAGTTCGAAGACAAATAGTCCGAAGCCATCGCTTAGCTCTGCTACGTTGCTGAACACCCTCTCAGATCGCACACTCAGTACACCTGACAATACTTTAGTTGTAGGGAGCACACAAGACCTTCGTGTTGGCATGCAGAACGACCGCAGTCGAGCACACATACAAAACTGAAGTAACAAGAGAAGCAATGGCCATCCTTATTTGTCAATCAACGTTTGAGCTGCAATGCACACACCTGTTCCTCCACCTTGATGTGCTTAGCAAATAGCTTTGCCACCCGGCACACTTGACTGAATTCCTTCAGGTCTTTGTATATATCTGCGGCACCCATCGCCGTGTGTGTAACGATAATAACATTCGGTGCACCTTTGAGCTTGCACGCTTTCTGAGGTCCCAGACCTCGGCGTGAGAAGACCGATTTCCACTGGTCGATGCCATTCTTCATAAAAGGGCGCAACATCTTAAGATTTCTGTCCACTCCTGTAGTGATCATCGTAGATAAGAATAAGCTTAGAACTACTTGTTCACAAGTATAAGATACACGCTCATCACGTTGGCCAAATGGGGCAACACGTGTAGCTATGTATGGTTTGAAATCATATACTCCAATATACCATTTGAAATTAAGCATACACATAACCGAATTGTGAACTCTTGTTTGTCTACGAATATGTAGACATAGATATGGTGCATGATACTAATTTATCAAATGTTCTCGATCAATTCATACGCATACTAAATAGCACCACATAACATGTCTTTCTAGGAGTTATGCATGGGATCGAGTCTATTAGAACCTAGGGATACGGTCACATGATACAATTCATCTGCAGCACGGCTGCGCAGTGGGAAAGTATGGCATACTCCCTCCTCCACTACGCACTCAAGTCAGGGGGCTCAAACATACCTGTATGAGCATCCGAAGGGTCGACAAAGCAGGCTACGGGGTTAAATGTGACTTCCTCGAGTTCTATCTCCGTCATCTTATTACCCTTTTCGTTCACGAATTCGGTCCAAACAAAGGCACCCTGAGCCTCGCCGTTACCGGTTATTTGTGCCTGTTGGGCCGCTTCCTTTTCTTTCCATTTTTTCTGTTTGTTTGCACCCTTTGTACCCTGAGTGGAACAGCATACAAATCTAATTATTATCTTTAAATCAAAGCAAAATCTGCGAACAAAATGCTGAAGAGACAAATATGGTTGTCTATGACGCCAACTATCAATTAACGGGCGAGCAACAAGTGTTGAATATATATAGATATAGGTATATATATGATAATATAATAATATATTTTTATTTACATAACATAACAGAACAATAATACAATAACATATATACTTTACATAATGTAATAGTATAATAATATAGTATATGCAATTATATGTATTTTTACTAACTACATATATCAAACAAACAACAAGCACGCATAAACTTTGTTTAATTCTATATATATATATAAACAAACGTATCTCGCTACATATGCATAAATGAACACACAAACACGCATATATATATATAACGCATATATATATATACAAATATAAATATATTGATATCGATATTTAATCATAAAATACAATACAAACACGCACACAAACGTACACATACATATATATACAACCAAATACATTAATATATCCATACATATATACACATACGGGTACATATATATATATATGCATGCATGTACGGATGTATGCACACATGTAGGTATGCATCTATATATAAATATACATACATACATACATATATATAAATATATATATATGTATATATATATATATAATATACATATATATTAATACACACTCCCACATACACACACATACATGTACATATGATATACATACATATACACATATGCAAACACACTTGGATATATAAAATTATGAATATAGATATTTACACATAGCAATATATTTAAATATAGATAGATAATGTCAAATAATCATATACATATGATAAAATATATATACACAAGGTATGCATAGATAGTTCATTACAAACATTTATATATGTGAATGTTTATACGCATACTTATACATACACAGACACAGACACAGGTAAAGATACAGATACACATACACATATATGTATATATACACTTATATATGCTTGTATATCGATATACATGCATACACACATACACACAAAAACAAACACAGACATGTATATATACATATACATATTTATATATATAGATGTAAAAATAGATGTAAAAAATTGAATATATCTATGCTTATTTCAATGTACAAATCTATATATTTCTGTATACGTATATATATATCAATATCAATATATATATATCTAGATATATATACCTACACACACACACACATATATATACAAATATATATATATATATATATAAATGTATAGTTCTATATATTTCTATATACGTATGTATACACACACACACACACATATATATATATATTACAAACGCACTCAAACACATACAAACACACACACACATATATACATATATATATCTATATATAAAACTACATATACAGTTATACATATATTTTGTTGAAATTTTAAATATATCTATGCTTTCGTTCAGGTAAATTCCTAAATGTACATAAATACGTACATGTATACCTATATCCATATCTATGTCTATATCTATATCTATATTTATATATATACACTTACACACACACACACATATGTATAAATAATTACATATATAAGTATGAACACAAATACAAATACAAATACAAATATACATATATACATATACTAATATTTTGAATATATTATATTATATAGATATATGTATATTTAAACAGACATACGTACGTACATACGTACCTTTACAGACACAGGCATAGAAACAGCCGCAGCCAAAAAAATAGTCTCTGTTACACACACACACACACTCAGACATAGACACACACACACACACACACACACACACACACACATATATATATATTCAATTGCGATATATATATACATGCTATATACCTTATCATATGCTCTTCAGTGGTAATACAGCATATACAAATCTCACCACATACACGAACAATCAATCACCTCACCTTAGCGGTCCCATCGGCACTGGATGTTTTTCGTTTCTTATTACTTTTACTGTTTTCTTTCTCCTTCGCAAGTGCTTCAGCTTTCTCGGCCTCTATGTAATCAGACCCCCGTTTCTCTCCCTTTATCCTTCCCATTTTGGCCACCTCTGCCACATCCGACGTTAGTCCTGGAGATGGTGGTCGTAGCTCATACTTCGGTTTACCCGTCTCATTATCATCGTCGTCAGAAACGACAATATCGCTGTCATACATAAGACCGTCATCTAAATCGTCACCGCCCTCCATGATAGCTGGCATAGTATGTAGAACTGGAAGTACTTAAAGTTTATGTCGGAGATGGGATTAAAAAAACGTATATATCGAAACCTCTAATACATGTACTATGATAAGCGCTAGAGTGTCCGTGCCGTTATATTCTTTCGCTGCTATATTGCAAAATAGCTTTTGTAGGGGTTGTAGACAAAACAATAAACATGCACCGATGTAAATTTTGAAATATGAAGCTACACACTGGTCTACAGCCCTACATGGCCTACTAATAGCCCCGCACAGGACACATTATATAGAGAGAGCACAATCAGTCACTCTCGACGAATCAAAATATCAAATTTATCATGCACGTGGATTTCCTCTATATATTGTATATATATTATATTTACATTATGTACGTAGCTTTTGCAAGTTATTCACCACCATTGCAGTAAAAGATAGCTGTGAATGGTTATTTTTACTTCGTTGCTAGAAAATATCTGTAAAGACAGTCACCGCGGACGATAGTAGTATTACAAGACATACACATCAAGATGGTTGGGACTTCCTCAGCGGGCAAGAGTCAAATATTCCATCCTTATCGAGCATTGGGCTATGTCACAAATCATGTGCCTTTTGCATTGCAAACAAAGACGAACACACACTTTATTACTACATGCATAGGTGATGCTTTCCAACAATACGGTGCTGCGAAAATGAATCTTTTATTTGTATCTCCGCCTTTGCAGGAGCCTATCACTTGCATAGATATGGTAAAGGATTATGTGATGACAGCCTCGGGTTGTCGGGTGATAGCTTGGAAACGCGGGAAGCAAGTGCGTTGTATAGGTACACATAAACACAATATACAGCTTATGCTGCTATTTGGGGGCATGGTGATTACCTGTGATGATAGTGGGGAGATTGTGATGTGGGATGACGAGAAGTCAAATGAAGAACTCGGGAGGGTTGAGGTAGGCAGTCAGGAACAATTCAATACTACAGCCATGATGCACCCAGCTACATACCTGAATAAAGTTCTTCTAGGCAGCAGGTAAGTGTGTATGTATAATCATGTGATACTGAATGTCAAATAAAGATAATGCTTGAATGAACCTGGGTTGGAAGTGATGCACACAGTGATAGCTACGTTCCCAATAATAACGATAATATTAATATTAATAGAAGC